AGGAAGATGAGAGAGAGAGAGAGAGTACCATGATGAATGAAACAATGATTGTTTCTTGGTTGGTTGATTGCTTCACACACACACACGCAACTTGGTAAATGTGCGAGCAATTGAATTCTTTTGAAGTTGAGCATTGCCTACCTTGTGGAAATTAAGGGATCAAGTATTGGAAATACTTGGGCTCATGTGTGACAATATAGTGCTTGTTTATCGGCTTCCAAGTGGGTTGAATATCCTAGCCCTTTCTAGTGCCATTGAAAGAGTGACATTTTCAAGGGTTGTCTTAAAGACCAGGGAGGTAATATTTGGCAGTGTTTGGTTGTTCAGGGGACGGCTTCCCAACTTCTACGCGACGAATATTTCTGTACTAGATCTTATTCTATTTGACCTTCATGTTAACTATCCTTGAAGAATTTGCAGGTATATCTTTGAAGAAGTTCAGGGACATGTTTAAAGGATTTATAAGAAGGTCTAGGTTGTCCTTGCTGTTTGGTATTTTGTGACTGAAATTGTCCTCTACAACACTTCCATTTTCAGAAGGAGGGGAAGAGGCTGAAGTAGGAGAGATTACCTGCCCTCTGAGCTGTTCGACTCCAGCAAACGGATCTCACGATCTAGTTCTTCTTGTTCCAGATTTTTAGCTATCTCCTCAAAAGTGAGTGGAGGGTTTCTACTTATCAGGTTCACTCCATAATCTTCCCACTCTAGGGGCAATGTGTAGACGAGTAGTGATTGCGCGTACTGAATGTTGAAATCAACCACGTTGGCTTTCAGAACTCCATAGATTGTACCGAAATTCATCACGTGATCCCCAATGCGGGTTCCTCTCTCCATTGGTCTTGTAAGTACATCCATCATAGCTTCTTTATTCCCCATTCTTTTTCTTTAGGAACGACTTACTTATTCAAAATGGCTTCTTTATCCGTTGAGATTGCCCTGAATCGACCTCGCTCTGATACCAATTGTTGGGACAACAGAGTTACTACACAAGGCTATGAAAATTAAAATTTTTACAATCGATCTGATAACATCAACACTTTTTCAATTGCCTTGGAGCTAAGTCATAACAACTCCTTCTGAATAATTAAAGACACTTCTTTACAATGCAAATGTTACAATGGCACTTTGAGTAAATTCAAGGCAATTTCAGAGTATAGAGAAGCCATTTTGAGTAAG